GGTTCCGTTGCAAACGTTGAGATTAAATAAAAGTCAAATTGTAAGTGCGGTATGATTTGGAACAAAGTAAACTCGAGTTACTCTAAACTTAATGCTATTAGTACTCGTTATTTTGGAGTCGATTATAAGACAAAATTTATACATGACGAGGTCCCCGATCTGAGCTAAAGAAAAAGCGGTCACTTTCAAATGTATTGTGCATAATCAGTGAAATGTTGACTTGTTTTTGAAAGGACTAGTCCGAGTAGTGACTGAGAGATGGATTACTCCTGAATATGCTCATCATGTCGTAAATTGAATGTATCTATAGTCAAAAGATCGATGAATGTGGCCAAAAAGAAAGAAATAGATTTAGCAAATAGTGTTGTCCAATGTCCATATGCATATATATACATTATAGAAGTTATATGATCTGTGCTATGTACAATCAAAACCCATGTATACTTCACTCACTTGTCGGAAAAAGTGTCAAAAAAGTCATAAACCTATTGCATTTGTGTCAATTTAGTCCTAAATTTTTTAATGGTGTCAATTTAGTTATAAACTTTTAATCAATTTGCCAATTCAATCCTTCCGGCTAATTTTAGCCGGATATTGCTAACATGGACGCCGCCCGGCTTACGTGGCACGACCGGCGCTGACATTGACAGCTTTTAATAATATTTTAATAATTTTCTATTTTTATTTATTTATTTTCTTTTTCCTTTTCTTTTTTGTTTCCATTCCCTTCCTCCTTCCCGCCGATCACCGAGCCTCGCCAGCCATAGGCGAGACTCACCCTTGCCGAATGGCCACGAGGGTGGCCTCGTGCTTGGCTGGCAAGGTTGGCCTTCACCGTCCCTAGCGAGGCCAGTGACCAGCGAGGTCACCTCATTTGCCCTGATCTCTGGCCGGTCCCCGAGGTTCGGCGACCGGTTGGAGGAAGGAGGAATGGAATGGAAAAAAAAGAAAAAAATTAATTCCAAAAAAATATTAAAATATTATTAAAAGTTATCTGCGTCAGTGCCGATCGTGCCACGTAGGCCGGCTGGCGTTCACGTCAACAATATCCGATCAAAATTAGTTGGAAAGATTGAATTGGCTCTAGGTCAACATATTTAGCATTAAAATGACAACATTAAAAGATTTAAAATTAAATTAGTACCAATATAATAAATTTTAAATTTTTTTTGACACTTTTCACCTGTCTCGTCTTAAAGGCAATACATAAATGGAGGCTCGTACAATTTTCCAGTATTTGAAGTCAGCGTTTCAAGCAATTACGTCTATCAGATCATGTTTCTCTCCTCACGTGTGGCTGCTAAATTCAGTCTCCCTCCGTACTCATATGTCGCCGCGCCATTTCCATGCTGCTTCTTTCCTGTCTGACTGGAGCATGGTGGTCTTTGCATATATTGGGGGAAAAAGTGGTGGGATAGTACCCCAAAGAACAGTGTCTCCCATAAAACTTATCTTCCGCGACATTGGAAATTCCATTAATTCCCATCGAGTGTACAGATATCGGTTCAACGAATGCCGCGTGATCGATGGAAAAGCAGAGACTCATGCTTCTGGAAGTGACGTCGAAAGGGCACTTGGTTAAGGGATAAGTAGAAGGACTTGTTTCTTGAAGACGAAGTTGATTGTGAATTAAGATATGGACTCCTATTGAATCAAAAGTTATCAATTCCGAGTATGTTCAGTGCAGCTCACCATTAGTCAATCATGTCGCCCATAAGTGTCTAAAGTAGGATGGATATTGCGATAAGAATCTTACAAATTTTCTTTCTTTATTTGGACTTTTGACTCATCTAATATTCATAAATAAGATATACTCCTGCGCAATTTTTAATCCCCTCTCTCTCTCTCTTTGTTGGAGCCAAATCTAGCTCGTTGACATGGGCGAGCTTGATCTAGCATCGTGATCAACGCCGATGAGTTCTAAAGCGAGAAACTAAGAGAGATATAGAGAGGGAGATGATGGGGGATCGTCGGCTTATACTTGATAAATGATTAAGATGAACTTGATCTACATAATTTATAGGTGGTGCAATATTTATTCTCATTATATGATGTTGAATGAGTCCAAATCCACCCGACATCTTTCTCTTCTTTTGAGAGTCCATCTCTATGAACTCATATTAGAGTTGCTTCACATGTGAGAAAACGTGAGACCAGTGCAAAGTGGGGGAGGCTGAAAATGTCACCAACTTCGACATCTTACACTCACCTAAAAGAAATACTAGTAATAATATAATTATATTAAATAGAATAGGATACCATCCTGGTGCGCACGTCTCCAAGACGTTTTGTCCTCCACCTAATAATTAATTTAGCATATTGGATTTATAGGAATTTTCTTTTCTCCTTTTCCTTTTCCTCTTATTGCATGCATGTATGCATATAATCTCATCTCATCTCAAAAATTAAAAAAATGGGAATTGAATTATTTTTGCGCTTTTCATAATAGGTTGTCATAGCTCATCTCGATCAGATGAGGAAAATATATAAAAAAAAATAGAAAACTTGCCACATCCGTCAATTTGACATAGGCATAAGTGGTTACATACTGTCCAATGAGAAAATATGCCTGAAGTAAATTCATCGAGCTCTGCTAGCATAATAGTCTTTGGGCCACTGTGAAAGTAATAGCATATTGTAAGCTACAAATTTTTGAAGTAGTGGACCTCATAACAATTTATAATTATTTGTTTTCTTGTGACCCAAAACAGGCTGTTAAACTCACAGTGGAATAAGGATAGTCACTTAATCATCTCTCAAATCCCACATGACTATAACGTGCTTACAATCTAAGTCCATTACGAAAAGCATTTTGGATGCCGCCATTGAAATACCCTTTATGGCTATATTTTCAGCTATTCCGTCCATTTCATAAAGTATTCTGCCTAGTTTAACGACAGCTACCCATTATTCGGGAGATCCATTACTCTAGATGTACTCGGAAAAAGAACTATCTCAAACATCCTATTACTTTCCGTGAGAATTTCTGGTGGAGCGGTGAAATGCATGGATATCAATAAAACTCATTTGACAGAATAATCTCTTTGTAAAGTCATCAATTGCCTAGATTAAACTAAACCGCAATGATTACATCAAACTATGTAATGTCTAATAAAACTATAAAATAATGGTCATGTGTATATATCATTTTTAATCCTAGTAATATTAGTATTTAAGGAGATTGCGCTCGACGGCGAAGGCACGGTGGAGAGTGACCTAAACTCCCGCTTTGTTAGTGCGGGACTGCTCATCAATCTCTTCATAATTAAATTTGGTGCGACATATGCGTTTGCAAGTTGCTGCGTGCCCTTCTGCAAGCTCCATGGTTGGTGAGATACATTAAAGTAACATCCTATGGATCTTAATGAGGGAAAAGGGTAGACAAATTGCTCAATAATTTAATTGAAATCAAGAGATTAGTGATTTTAATCGATAGTGTCGCCCAACATTAATATCGACCGAGGGCAATGAAAAAACGACATGTTTAAAATATGCATGGAAGTTAGGTATGTGATGGAAACAATTGAATCTACCGAGGTCAATATGCACCTTCACTTTTGCCCTAGTAGTCTTAACTGAAGTGCCCCGTGACTAGGCTTGTAGTTATAAATCAACGATGTTACCATCAAATGCGAATTCTATATTGCAAGAGTCGCCCTTCAAGCTGACCTAGCTTCATTGTGTCGTCATGGTTCGCTCCTGTTACTAGTTCTACATCAAAGTTCTACATCTCTCTCTCTCTCTCTCTCTCTCTCTCTCTCTCTCTCTCTCTCTCTCTCTCTCTCTCTAGATATTAATAATTTATACAAAGCAAACCGCATGCACAAGGAGCATCATATGTACGAAGAAATGGTGATGGAAGTGGCTGGGCCCGTGTCTCGGCATGACCAGATTCAATTGGCAAAAATCCTGAAAATACTAGACTTGGTTACATATAAAACGATCACAAGGGCATGACCCTATTGTCAGTGTCAGTTATTTGTCCGGGCCAGAGTAATGCCAGGTGCACAAATTTACTAAGTGGTGCTCTATAGTTTGATTGTTTTATAGATTTTGGTTTCACTGTATATAGAACTAAACTGTTTGGGATTTGTCGTTTGCTCCGTCATACAATACTCCTTTTTATGAATTGTATGAATTTTACGTTGTACATCAGAACGTAACTCATGCCAATTAGTGTTAAAGATACCAAAATTAAATGTACAAAAGCTTACATGCCACTAATTTGATGTATATTTACACAAACCCCGAAAAAAACCCTAATTTACTCTCCCCCTTCACCTCCATTGCTCGTTACGCCTTAGTCTAACTCCCGAGTTCCGAAATTGGCACAAATGATCGCGGGTATGGCGTCATTTTCCATGGACAACCTTAAGTTTGTGGTCGGACACCATGGGACCTCGACGCTGTGGTTGGTGACCCCGAGTCTAAGGTTTAGTTGTCCTGCAAGAGAGGAGGAGCTGCAACGGGGAGGCGGTGGCTGGAGGAGGTGACGCTGACGGTGGTTCTAGACATGCCGCGGTGGTGGATATTACGGTGGGCATTAGAAAGAGGAAGAGGGAAATGATAGATGGAGAAAGATAACATAAATATAAGTACTTAAAAAAATCCCAACCCTTCAAAATTATTGAGACCGATGTGTCCACCTTATGGAAGGGTTAAATTTATACTAATTTACTCCCTAAATTTAGAGAATCTATATCCACCATTGATACGGTCATCGAGGATACTCTTTTGTAATGCAAAAGCAAATGAGTGATCAAAGGGCTACATATATTCTTGTGCCCTATTCTTTATGAAGATTTTGAATATCTACATATCCATATACATCACTTCAAAACGAACTTTTAGAAATCCTTTCTTATACTATACCAAGCATTATTGCTAGATTTTAGTATCAGCTCACGTAAGCGCATGATACACAGTTTCTCCATGTCCGAAACTTGTCCGCTCTCTCCACTTTGATTGCCTTCTCATCTTCATCTTCATCCTATAAAAAGCCTTCATTTCTCGTCCTATTCTCCCCCTACACTTCACCATCCTCGATCTCGTGCACCTTCTAAAACCATAAAAGAAAAGATCCGTCGATATGGTTCCACGTGAAGCAATCACCGAAATGACACATAACCCTAATCACGCTCCTTTCACCATCATGCAAAACAACGCACCATCGTCAGTATCGCCCTTCGACTTCGGTAGACTCTTCGCCGAAATACCAAACCCTCAGCGGATCCTCCAACAAGTGACGCTATCCGCCAAGACGGCGGCCACCTCATGCCTCAGCAGCACCTCCGACGAGGCTGACAACCGCCAGCTCCGGCTCATCGACGAGAGGCGGCGGCGGCGGATGATATCAAACCGGGAGTCGGCACGGCGGTCACGCATGCGGAAGCAGAGGCACCTGGACGAGCTGTGGTCGCAGGTCTTGAGGCTCCGTGGCGAGAACCAGAGCCTCGTCGAGCGACTGAACGAGGCCACGGAGCGCCACGAGAGGGCCGTCCGGGAGAACGCGAGGCTCCGGGAGGAGGTGTCTGATCTGCGGCAGCTGCTGAGGGATGTGAGGTTCGATAGCCCTTGAGACGACGCCAGTGGTGGCAGTAGAGATCTGGAAGAGGTCGTGTGCAATAACGAGAGTTAGTCCATGTGAGGGATGAATTATCCTCAAAATAAACTGATGAGCGCAACAACGTGTTCCTTGAGTTGCTTCGCTGAGAGTCATGGATTTTGATTAGCTTTTCAACGCTAAGAATGATCTTATGTGAGTTATATTATATTGTCGGGAAAAATCGCCATATGAAAAATAATGGGGTTAATACTATGAAAAACCCCAAACTGGTACACCTGTGATAATTTTATCCCAAATTAATTTTTTGATCACGAAAAACCCCAAACTGGTACACTTATGACAAATTTACTCTAAACTAATTTTTTGATCACCAAAAATCCCGAACTGGTACGTATATGACAAATTTACCCTTTGGTAGTTTCCATTAAATTGAATTAATATCACAAAAAATTATAAACTGGTAAGCCTGTAACAAACGGAGGATAAAACATAAAATTGGTACATCCGTCAATTGCCGCGTGTTATCTAATAAAGCAATTTGACAGTAGAATTTAACGGAAATAAACTGAAGGTAAATTTGTAACAGGTGTAATAATTTGAGGTTTTTAGTGGTCAAAAAATTAATGTAGGGTAAAATTGTCACGGACGTATAAGTTTGGGATTTTTGGTGGTATTAACCCAAAATAAAATTCAGGGTATTACATACGAGAATCATTTACCTTTGAAGTGTTTATTACAAGTTTTACTTGTCCTGTTTAGCAAATGAATTTGTATGAAGTTGATAAAATCTTGATTGCCTTTGGACATTTCCTTATATCACCTCGTCATTCGTTCATATTTTAGAGCAACCCTTTTCTAGCTCTCTTCGCCGCGTCAAATGAAGAGAAGAAAATGCGCAAGAAGATAACGATATTCCAACACAACATGTTTAAGAACACATTTGTTGTTGACCTAATTATGTGCGTCCGATGGCTACACATCCTTGTTAATCATCATGAGACCCACCGGGCATATGCCTATGATAGCACATCATATCCACATGGAATATGCATGGATGATGCAAACATCGGATCATGATCGAGAACATCCACATTTTCTAAAAACGGAAGCGAATGCGAATGATGACAACATATCCATCCATGAAATCCATAAGAGGGACTAATCAATATGGCCATCATCGCCAAGAGTCGAGTAGTGAGAGAGAGCAGCAGCAGCAGGTGGTGGTGGAGGTGCTGTTGGTAGTGGCTCATCATTCAATAATTTCTACTGCTGGAAATTGTGTCTCTATCCACTAAAACACTCAGAGAGAGAGAGAGAGAGAGAGAGAGAGAGAGTCTCTGTTGCTGTGTTCTTTTGGCTTTCTGCGAGAAAACGAAGGCCTGCCAAACTTGGTCCAGCCATTGTTCTTTCTGAGGTGGTGTTGTTGTTGTTGTCACCTTGTCCAGATATTGCGCAGCACAATACACTTATGCTTCAGGTGTTGCTTGAACAGTAAGTACCTAAGCTCTCTCTTTTCAGGAAACATCAGCACCACCACCACCACCACTTCTTTTTTCCTTTCATGATGCAACTGCAACCTGCAATAGCAACAGGAAACGCATGGCATCCTACGTACAGTTCCCTGTACATAGGACAATATCGGGATTATCTACTGGAGCTAGTGTGTTCGAAAAATTAGGTCTAGAATACATAGCTCATCTTATCTAGATGGCTCAATATTTTCAGACAAGCAAGGTATCGTGATTTTAAGTCAAAAGTTTAGGAAAATGAACTACTGATAACTATATATATATTTTAAATTTAATTTGGGTTATCCTTTTTTTCACTTCTCATTTGGCTAAAACACTCTCTTCAACAGTGTAACTGGCCGTATTATCTCTCGCTTTTTCCTCCTTAGAATGTTATATCCCACACAGTCAAATGTGGGGCCCATTTGGGATCCTTTTTTTAGGGATATTATAAAACTTGTTAGCAATTGAGTCTTAAAACTTTTAAAAGGTGCAATCGAGTCCTAAAACTTTCAAAAAGTATAACCAAGTTCTAAAACTTGTCGTGAAAGTGAAATCGAGTTCCAAAACTTTGAAAAAGTGTGATTAACGGAAGAACTTGATTGAACCAATTTGACAAGTTTTGAGTCTTAATTACTTTTTTTTTTAAAGTTTTAGGACTCAATTACACTTTCGTGATAAGTTTTAGAATTTCCAATGCACTTATCCCTTTTTTATTTGTGTCTTCTTTTTCTTCCATTTTCCTTCTTCTTGTTCTCGCTTGTGTCGAAGCCTATCGCCGGCACTTCTTCATCTTCGTCCTCTGAGACCTCCATGCACACCAACGCTCGGGTGGTTTCACAAAACCTCACGAATTTGCTCTCTACCTCGTCGTCGCCTCTCACGAAACCTCGGCACGTCTGGCAGAAACCACTCCCTATGTCGGCACGAGCTTCCTCGACATGGATAGCTTGATCTCGTCCCTCAGCTTCTCATCCGGCACGGTCCACGACATCTGTTACCGGCACTCCTCCTCACACGCCGCGTTGAACTCTGGAGACACACCCTTACAGCCTCCGGGGACCGTATGAAACTTTATAACAGCATTTAAAAAATAATAATAATAAACAGTCGGGCTTTGTCCGAACCGTTTCTACTCGGGCCAGGCCCAAAAGAGCCAGGTCCATCTGTTCGGGTCGGACCGGGCCCAATCCGCAATCTGCTGCCATCGATCGATCCTCCTTCCTGCTTTGACATTCGTTGCAGAACACCCCTTCCGTCGTCATCCTTCCAAATTCCCCGATGCCGATGATGGGCGTGAGCTTTCAGTGCGTGATGGATTTGGCGGTCGCGGGGATCTCCCTGGTGGTCGGCCTGGGTTTCTTCGCGTTCGTCGCCGCCGTTCTCTGCTCCGCCGCGTTCTTGAACAACGTCAAGGACGTCTCCTGACCCGATGAATTGTCCCAGGTTCGCATAATTCCGCTCGAAACTCGCGGTGAATTGGGCTCGAGGCATGTGCTGTAGTTTTGGGTTCTTTCCGTCTTCTGGGTCTGCAATTGTGGTGCTTCTCCCTCACAGAGCGCTTGAAATTATCCGGAAATTTGTCTTCTTTCTTTTCTCAGAGAGAGAGAGAGAGATGCTATAAGTGATGATGATCTGTGGGGAAAGAAAAAGGGACTGCTTTAGGTAGTTCATACTCTCAATGGAGCATACTTGAAACTAGATGATCCAATTAGCATTTGAGAAATGAGAAATCTGTGGTTTGCTGACCTACGTTTGCTTTCATTAGCTGCATCTTGGTACTGGTTTTACTGCAAATTCCAGTGATCCTAGCACCGTGTCACCGGCCTGACCCGCCCTGAATCCTTTTTCTTTTCTCCTTCGCCTACGCGAGCTGGTTCGACGAGGTAATTTTCTGGTTCTGTGAACATGTAGGCTCCTTGAGGCATCTCTAGATTGGTTGACCACTCTCTAGACTAAATTAAGACAGCTAATTTTCCGGGTCCTGCGAACCTCAATTAAAGGAGTGTGCATACACCGGATAGTATTGTTTCCGAGAACCGAGCAGAAGGGTCCTCTAAATTCATCTTCAGATGCAGTGGGTGGCTCCGGAAGCCATCTCCCCTTTTGAGAGAATAAGAACGGATTACGAGTTTTGATGTGAAATCAAAGGAACACACTTCTATTTTGGCACTATAAGTGGCATCAGCTTGAATGGGGCATATGCATCAAAAGTGAAGATTGTTGGGAACCTCGAATTATTGCTCTGTTTTCACCAAATTTGCTGCATTTTTATTGCTTACCGGGTAAATTATTGTGTCATCATATGACAAGTGGAGAAGCTATTTAGATCAATTCAACCGCACATAAATTCAATGTCTTCGATTGGACGCCATTGTATGTCATTTCAGATCCATTGTTAGGTTTCTCTTTCTCTTTCTTTTTAACGTATACAGGTGCGAGTAGCTTGAGGAAAGGGTTGATTTAAGCGACATCTGAAACATGCTTTTGTTAAAAACTAAAAAAGGCCTGTTAATTGGGTTCGACCTCATTTCTTGATGGCATGCATAACTTGTGTCAACATTATGAAGTCCCTTATCCTTTTCTTTCTGTGTGATTGACTGCTGAAGTCTTCAAGTTATGCTAAAATTATAGCATATATACTTAAAGTCAGCCATACTGATGCAAGAAACTAACTCTTTCTCCGATTTGATTATGTTTAGATATTTGAATGGAGCCACGTGGGAACAACATCCAAAGAGATTTCCTGTGCTTCAAATTGGAAGCAGTAGGCTATTTTGATATCAAGCCTCATGTGTTCGGATAGCTCATGGACAATGGACGCTCTTTTCATGCATCCAACGTAGAAAAGCTTGTGAGAAACTGAGTTTTGAGTTTCTGATGAAGTTTTGTTGATTATGCTGAACAAAATAGCCTTGCCAGCAAACCCTCTCGTGTTGTATTATATCAGTTGGAAAAAAATTCGTACTTCATCATTCTTTTTTTCCTCAAAGAGATTGCAGAGAGTATTTCCGGTTGTTTACATTGCAGTGAGTTGGTCGGCTCGGACACCTCCGTCTTCATAGCTTAGGACTTCAAGAAGTCCAGCTACACGAATGGTTGTGCGGCTAGTCCAGGTTCTTGAGTCATTGGTTCAAGGCGACCAAAACTTCATTAGGGGTTCAGGGATTGAAATCATTCATATGATTTGCACATTTGGTTTTCCTTGCTCATAACCTGCCTCGGTGATTGGCACTAGCTTATGTTGCAGAGTGTCGAGGATTGTCTTTCTTCATCTACCAGTTACCTCTTATTCCATAATGGTCAAACTCGAGACCATGCAAATCTAAATGAGTCCTCTCATATTTAGAGCAGCCTCTTCTCCTGAAAGTAAGATCATTCGGATTCTCAGTTGCTGTTTTCTCTGCTGAAACGCCAGAGTGATCGTATCCTCACATATTTTTACCAAGTGATCCTTTATACCTCAATTCTATGATCTTGCGTACTTCCCGTCTTCGGGCCAGAACAAGAGAAGACAGTACCTTTCAGAATGGACCGGGAAGCGAGATCGATACTTCTCGAATTCTCGAATCAGTCTAGGTACGGTTTGCTGCGAGCAATGCGACGGATCAATAGAGTTCACTTAAAATCAATGTCAAGGAATACGTTGTTTCATCTTGCATAAGGAAGGATGTAACTACCTTAGCCCGGTCAGTTACAGTTTCTCAAAAACGGGAAAGAAAAAAAACAACGGTCCTAAACTAAATTAACGGTAACATAAACAAAAACGAAAAGTCATTCTCGGACCGTTTTACTTTCAATAATGTTTGGTATCAATCACGTTCCCTTTGATTCTGAAGACTACTTTTTCTTCTTCTGCTTCCGCGAGTACACCATCCCTCGGATCCCATCCGGATCCGCCACAAAGCCCAGCGGCCGGTAGAACCCGAGCACTCGGGGCTCCGAGTACAGGGCGATGTTGCCGATCCCTCGGTCCAGCAGGTCGCCAACCAGCCTCTCCATGACGGCCTTCCCGAGCCCGATCCCCTGGAACGACGGGTCCACCACCACGTCCCATATAATGGCGTTGAACACGCCGTCGCCGGTCGCCCTCGCGAAGGCCACCGGCTTCTCCGTCCTCCGGTGCTGCACCCACACCAGGGCGTCCGTGTGCTCCAGCGCCACCCTGATCTTCCCCGGATCGCGCCGCGGGAACCCGACGGCCACGAACACCGCGTTGAGCCGGTCCAGGTCGAGGGACGCAGGGTCGCGGTGGAGGGCGAAGCCCCAGGACTCGAGCTCGGCGTCGGAGATGGAGAGGGTGGTGGCGGGGAAGGTGGCCGAGGAGGAGGAGGAGGAGGAGGCGGAGGAGGCCGTTATGGAGAGGGAGTGGGGGTGGTGGTGGCGGGAGGTGGTGGCGGTGCGGAGGTGGAGGGAGGTGGGGAGAGGGGCGGAGGTGGTGCCACGTAGGAGCATCTTGAGAGACATTGGATGTGGGAAGTTGTTGGGGAGTATTGTGATGTTGTGATTTTTGTGAAATGTGTGTGGCTGACACTACATCCAGGTGAGGGATACCCAGTGCAGTGTCCTTCCATCTTTTCTAGTTTAGGAGCCAAACATCTACTGGAAACCATTTTAAAGAGTCAAATTGCAATGATATGGAAGTGCGAATACAAATATTAAAAATAAATTAGGTTAATATCACGAAAAATCTCAAACTAGTACATCTGTGATAGTTTTACTAAAAACTAATTTTTTGACTACCAAAAACCCCAAACTTATACATTTGTGACTAATTTACTCCCAATTTATTTCCGTTAAATTTTACTATCAAATTGCTTTGTTAAATGACACGCAATAGTTAACTGATGTATCAGTTTTATGTTTTACCCTCCATTTATCACAGGTTTATCAGTTTGTGATTTTTTGTTGTATTGATTCAATTTAACGGAAACCAAAGGAGGGTAAATTTATCACAAATGTATCAGTTTAGGGTTTTTAGTGGTCAAAATATTAGTTTTGGGTAAATTTGTCACAGATATACCAGTTTGGGGTTTTTGGTGGTATTAACCCAATAAAATTTAGACTCCGTTTGTTTCATGAAAGATTAATAATTATTCTCAAACTTTTATCGTTGTCATCGCTTACAAAAATGAGTCAATAAGAAATATTTCCGTTATTAACAACTCATACTTAAACTTTTTGTTTCTGATAATGAGCATATTTTCCATTATCTCTTTTCTTAAGAAATATAAATGATAAAAATTAGGATATATTTTTCCAAAACGTTAATTTTCTGTTAAACAAATGGAGCGTTAGATTATCGTGAAAATTTTATGATATTTAATCATATATATTTTGAATGTGATATTTTTGCGATTTTGTAGGTTTTCTAACTAGAGGTCTGCATTGCATTAATTTGGAATAAAGGTTGTGTTACAAACTTAATGTGATTATCATTTAATTAGGCTCCATTTGTTTAGTGAAAAACATTTTCCTCATATTCAGGTGTTTGGTTCGTTTAGGAAAATAAGTCAACGGAAAATATTTTCCAACCAAAACTTAAATTCAAGAAAATGATTTCCTTTCTAAAAAATCAGAAATCATTTTCCAAAATATGACTAAAAATCAGCGCTAGGACCAGAAACTCTGTGCTTGAGCACAAGAACCTCAACCCTTGTCTTAGGCCGCCCTTGGCAATGGGGCTGGGTCCCTAGCTTAGGTCCAGGTCCATCGAGGCCGAACCCAGGACTCCGGCACCCTGGCTCGGGGCCATCTAAGTTGCGCCCGAGTCCATTGAAGCTAAGATTGGGACACCGAAGCCCGTGCCCGGTAGTATCGAGGCCAAGCCTAGGTCCTTGACACCCATGCCCGTGTCCATCGAATCTAAAAAGTTTTACAAAAATTTCGTATTTTTTTATTTTTTCTTTCTTTTTCTGTTTCCTTTTTCCTCAGCTGATCGCCTGGCCTCAGCGACTAGCCATAGGCGCGAGCCGGCCTTGGGCAAGACTCGAGCTCGCCAAGTCTCGGCGAGGTCGAGCTCAAGCCTCGAGCAAGGCTCCACCTCGCTAGCGACCTCGAGCTCGCCAAATCCCGGCGAGGCTCAACCTTGCCCAAGGTTGGCCCTCACCAATGGCCTATCGCTGGCTATCACTGAGGCTCGACAACCAGCGAGGGAGGAAGAAGGACAAAGAAAAAGAAAAAGAAAATAAAATAATTATTAAAAAATTATAAATTTTATCCACATCGGACGGTTGGCGTCAATGTCAGCAATTTCCAATCAAATGAGATTTTCCTTACCAAACAATGGAAAAAAAATTTCAGTTCATTTTCAGGTCTTAGCCGAACATCGAAAAATATTGTCATTATGCTGAAAAATGACTTTTCGAAAAATATTTTCTACAAATGTTACATTTCCCGCGGAGCCTTAGTGTTTGGTATTTTTTTACTAACGAAACTATTTTGGCAGGTTGTGAGTACCTTACGGGTATTCGACTATTTTAGTCGTTTTAGTGAGCCGAGACTGCGATTTCGTATTAAAATCAGTGGTAGGTTGCGGATCGATTTGGGGAATAACAGAAAGTCAAGGGAACGGGCTCGGGACTAGGTCAGCCGTCCCAGACCAGTCCCCACTTCCATCCCTAAGAAGGCGTGATATCATGGTTTTACTCACTTGAGATGGTGCTCATTTTTTATAAGCTTTCTTTGCCGTTTAGGCTCGTGTACTTAGCCTATATTATATGGAAACTCATGGTTTGATCTTGTGCTATACAACTAGACACCTTCTCAAGAAGTCATCCAACTCGATAATGCTCCTAAATACACTCATTGAGGTCTGATTCTAAATTTTGTCTTTACACCGAAAGTTGCAACTTATGAGTTACTTTCGGTTTCACATATGTGATGTAAAGTTATTCCCTTCATATTTAATGTGTTATTCAGCTCATTCTTATCCCTTGGCATTTTATAAACCTATTAAGACTTATACCTTGTCCAACCCCTTTTATCCCAATGATATTTTCGCACCCTCATCGGATAGTTGAACAAGCCACTCAACTCCGCATGGTTCATTTCCAAACCACACAAAAGGTGGTCCTACTTGAGTACCTTACCGTGGCAATCTCTAATCTAACTCTCTGAGGTATTATATAGTAGCTTTAGTCAATCCTGTGCTAAGATTTATGATAATCACTTTTCCTAGAGGCACTGTTCTTACTTGAACACGTTTAATATTGAAGTTCCACCTTTGCATATATAACCTTTGGACATTGGATAGGTACATGAAACGTAATCTTATATTGAATAATCAGAAGTATCTACATGAGGCATATGCTGCCTCAAGGATCGAACATATATATTGAATAAATCAGCATTAGGTAAGCATGTTTTGTCCTTAGTAACTATAAAACAGAAGTATACACATCTGGCAAAACACATGAGCGTCGTAACTTGTCAGCCCTAGAAAAGGACAATAAAAAAGCAATAATTTGTGTCAATATCATAGGGGAGCTCATAGATATCAAATCCTAGTCTTAGTTTTCAACATGTCACCCACATCGTTTACTAATCGAATTATGGTAAGATTTCTTAATGTATCTAACTCTGTTCAGTCAGTTATTATAAAATATATTAAACAAGCACACACGGTTTCGTATTTATACGCAATTATGCATTTCGCTCCAATATTTAACATGAATGATGTAAAGTGTAATAAATTGGCAACTTAAACTTTGGTCTTCCTCTTTGGTTTTTCTCCTAATTTTGACCAACGAGTTTCTTTTCTTCCTCCTATGGAGTCGGGCCTTCGGTTAAATCACGTAAATCTCTCGTGTTGTTTCTCTGTATTTATATGTTATCGATTTGGCATGACACTATAAGGTACCAAATGGTCCAAAAAGAGCAATAGAAGTCGAAAACATAGCTAGCAGTTCCTCTCTAGTTGGTTGTTTATTTCCCGATATAATCTCATATGTGATCATGAAAGATTAGGGTCCTCTCGATTTAGGCAGCAAACTATTAATATATTCAAATTATCCCATTGAAAAATTGAGATTTACAACTTTAAATTCAAGGGCTGACATGTATCTTTTTTCTAATCGTTATTTCTCTTTTTCTTCCTTTTCCCCCTTTTCTTCCTTTATTTTTACCCTAATCGAGCTGCGCTAGGTCATCTCTCACGTCAGCGCATCGGAGTATCACACCTCGGCTCCTCTAATTGATGGGCTAAAACAAAACCGGTCCTTTCACATGTATCTAATCGATGGCCGGGGGGCACAACCACCATCATTTGCTTCAAATGCACGGCGTAGTGAGTCAAATAAAGATACACGACATTCAAATCAAACGTTTGATCAATAAGCCAAATGAAAATATTGACATTAACAAGCTAAAATAATCATGTTTTTCAAGGGTGCAACATGACTATAATTAATTAGGAAAAAATTGTCATTTTTTTAAGGGAAAAATCCACAAAAAATCCCAAACTATGCTTATTGTGACATATTAAGATAAAAAAACCTCAAACTATGTCCATTATGACACATTTACCCTAAACTTTTTTTTGTAACATAAAAAATCCCAAACTTATACCAATGCGACCCATTTACCCTCAATTAAGATTCCATCGAACGATTTTTGAATCAAAATGACGTCATTTTATTTCACTTAAATCATGTGAGCGCCATGTCATCAATGTTTGCTTTCCGGCGTCAATGTAGACAGATTTTTAACTATCCTTGTTGGTGGAATTTTGACAGAGAATAAATGTATCACACATGTATAAATTTAGATTTTTGGTGTCGTTGAAAAAAGTTTAAGATAAATGCCTCGTAATGGGTATAGTTGGGGATTTTCAGTGTCTTCTATCTTTTTTCTTTTTTTTTGTAATTCCATGTACTCGGGGTCCTTTCCACGTGGGCCACGGGCAAGTATTCACTATTCATATGAATTATTATAGGTGCTCTCAGAGTGCTACGTCAATGTGCGCCAATACCATTATAATCGCGACACCTGGATAGGAAAAAAAAAACAAGACGACAGTAATTGCGACAGTAAGTGCTACGTCTGCTCTTCTCCCGCATTCGTTCTTCTCATTCCTCTCGGCTCGTGAAGTTCATGGTCATGGGGGAGAGGGTCTCAACCTGGAGGACGCACTCCCGTTACTCTCTACTCTCTCCTTTTTTGCCTTCTCTCCATCCTCATCTTCAAAATAATCCCAGAAAGCTAAACCAGAAACAGATTATCTATTCACAAATTCACCTGTTGTCCGCTGAATCGAAGTCATGGCGCACAGCAGCCTCTCTCTTTCTCTCTAGCCCACTTCCCTCACCGCAACCCCTTCTTTTCCCTCCTTGTTCTTCCTTTCCCTCCAGATGGGTCTCTTCGTCGCTTGATTCACTTACGGCCCTTTTCTTTTGTTGCCTTTTTCATACCGTTTTCATTAACTCCGTCCAATTTGACTAACGGAAAATGTTGACGTGGCTTTTTTATTATAATTTTCTCTATCCTACGTGGCAATGATGTGGCTAAAACGACGTTATTTTGGTCCAAATATAGTTTTAATAAAAAATTTATCTAAATTCAATTTAAAAAATAA